TAGGAATGGATCATTCTTCTTTTTCTTCTTTTATTTTCTTTATGCTTCTTTTTTTTTATATATATTTTGTTTTGTTTTCTCTGTAGTTCATTAATTTTTTTCCACCTATTATCAGAACCAGTCACTTGAATTAACTGTTTTACCGTAACTTTGTGCATTATTATTTGGGTCCTTAAAGAAAAGGCCACAATTGTTGCGGGGTGTGTTCCTTTTAGAAGGAGTCCGAACGATTGAATGAGTCACACTTAATTATATGATACATATGGCGTAGTAAAATTAGAAACCAGCTGGTTTGTTTCAGGTAGCATTATTGTGTCCATTTTCATATTGACCCCTCTCTCTCCTCCCCCCCCCCTTCTCTCTTTGTTTCTCTCTTTATATTTTTCTCACATATATATTAAAGAAAACTGTTTCATGCATCTGGACCGTATTTTTACGGTCCCAAAATATAACGCATTCATCTCAAAGATGGATGCAAATAGGTGATCCATCTAAAAACAATTGAAACTACAGGTCCAAATATTTTCTTTATAAAATCATTATTTTATTTCTTAAAATTATTTATTTTTTTATATTCATGATCTCCATGGTAAAGATTACATGTACTTAAAAATTGGGTCTAAAAATTCATCTCAAAAATAGACTTTTAGGTTCGTCTCATTTCTACATGGACTCATATAAATCATGTCCATAAAATAATCGGAAAAACATATCAAATAATCGGAAAAACATATATTGCACGAGTGTATGATTGTGTATCTGCTGCTATATACTTTAATACCTAGTTTTGGGTACCCCTTTCTCTCTTTTTAAAGGGGAAGGCACTTTGAAACACAATTGTATAAGTTTGAGGAAAAGATGCAATATGTATGTTTCTGGCCATTATCTTTGTATTATATTGTTCGGGAGAGATGCTGAAGATCAAGTATATGCTAGGCACCTGTAGGACCTTTAGAAACTGAGTTTTCCTCATATTTTATGTATGAAACATTACTTTTAGGTTATAAAGTTTGAATTTCAAATGTGATAATGGTTGTGCATAATAATCTACCCATGCACAAAGTAAATTTTCAAATGAGTGTTCGTGGAATCAGCTTGGGCCAAGGACTTCGCTCTTACCAAAAACATAGTTTCCTGGGCGACCCTTCGTGGACGTACCGAGTAAAGTGGAGCTGTTGCCTAAAGATACCTCAGACTATCCTTTCCTCCTGGTTTCACATTCTTTTCTTCCCCCTTCTAGGCCTAAACCTTTCCGATATTTCTCTATGCGGCAAGATGCTCAATGAACCTCATTAATCAGTCATGACAAGGAAGGTAGAGGGTAGTCATATGTATGTGTTTCTAGCTAAAGTCAAAAGAGTGCATAGGGTATTACCATATGGGATAAAGTATGTTTGGGAAATATTAGCCTCAATATAAAGGAAATAAGGGATCAATTATTAGAACTATGAGTAATCATTGATAACAACCCAAATGATTAGTCCACTGCCTTAGAAAAAGCTAAGTTCTCATCCCAACTTCAGTATCTTTTGGCCTAATAATAAAGTATGTGGAGCCAAAAATCACGAGAGACTTAGTTCAAGGACAGGGACTCCAATACTAAATTCTTTAATGTCCACTCTTAGTAGG